AAAGTTCTGAAAAATCCATTGCTGCTGTCGGATATATCCAGCACGACAACGACGAACATCTTGTAAAATTTCAAAGAATAAATATCATAACGTTTGCATGCTTATACGGCAGTGCGGAATGTAGATCCAATGCAACTGCAATACTGGCTGCATATTTAGAAGATCCAATTGCAAACCCGTAAGTTTTGACGTGATCTGTATAAGGATTTAATTCCACAAAAGTTTTGTAACATTATCCATTTTAGGATATCGCCTCTTTTGAGAGATTGGGTTTTTTCTTCTGGAATTAAGAATGCAAATGCAAGTATCTGGAACATGGTTTTAGATCTTTACGCCAAGAGCCCTTCTCTCACAGTAATTAATTATCTTGGTCTTTCGGAAGACGAAGAAATCTTGACAAACTACATGTCACTGGCAACAACAGAAAATTCGACGATACTCAAGGAGCATGCATCTGATGCGTTCGCGTCCGTTTATAATAACAGGGCTGATAAAGTAAACTTCGCCTTGGACTACCTCATCGACAATTTCGACAAATTATATGCATTGTAATTAATTGTTTACGCTGTACTTTTTTGATTTCTGTAAATAGAATTACATAAGCACAAATTGTTTACTTGTTGCAGCTGGGACCAACCAACAGATAAAATGATTGGGCATATTTCTGCGATTAGTACCCTCCTAACAACAAGAGAACAACTCGCGAAGGTTTTTATCATCAACTGTTATACTATTACACAACCAGTCATTTGATGTACAGCATACTATGCATCACTTATTCTTTTTGTTTATTACTTTCAGTTAAAAGCTTTGGTCGGAAAGCACAGTGATGTATTCGGATCTGATGGGCAAACTGCAATCGCCACTACAGAATCTAACGTTAAATGGGCTGAAACTTACGAACCAGTTTTCTACAAATGGTTTACTAATTTCTACAAGCTGTAAGACCAAGAAGCTACTTCCGTTGTCGCTGTTAACGTTGACCAACAGCACGGCACATTATCACCTACCACCACACCGTGCATCATGCGTAAAGAAATTTTTCCAAAGTTCTGAGTAGAGCGCAGCGATTTTCCTCAGAAACTTCAGTTTACGCTATTTTGGGTTTGACCTATTATCCTCGCCATGATTTGTCAATTTGCACGTACTATCATAACAAGATACTTGTAAGGAATTTCTTGAACCTGTTGATACTTTAAAATTTGCAGTGACGATTAC